ATTACAAAAAGTAAGCTCACCAGACGATCCGCTTTCGAACGTAGATCATTTTCGCGGTTATTTGTTACACTGGTATTGTCAAGTGAAATGCTTTCCGACGATTGTGGCACAGCTGTCGACGATGATGATATCGCTGTTGTACGAGTTGCACTGCTGCTTTCCGTAGCATCCTGCATGCTTTGTGATGGCGTTGGTGGAACTGTGGAATACTGGAAAAAAACACGATTTTCAGCAGAACACTGCCAGTGCAAATAGTGCGACAGTTTTCCTAAGCAAATAAATGGGCAGCACACCGACTTCTGGTGCGAAGACTAAGACCTACATGGGTGCGGAATATCCCCTTAAAATTTCAGCTTTCTAGCTTCTCTGGCTCCCAAGTTAGCAGCTTACTCGCCAAGAACTTTAACAAGTCCATACGTGGGGATCACGCAGGTAAGAGCGCCCGTTCTGGGGATGGAGGCCCGTACGTGTATGTAGATTAAGTCCCCAAAGTTTCAGCCCTGTAACTTTTGTAGGTTTCGAGAAAACTCGGTACACACACACACACACACAGAAAAATATCCACACACACAAACAATCTCTCGGCAATATGCGTTTTTGCATTGTATATATGCAAAAAATGTACAATAAAATGATAAATTTCTTCTCTCCTCGCTGTCAGATCACTCTTGGCATCAAAAGTTTAAAAAAAAAATTCGCTATACCTGGGAAGTGTGAGCCGTAGCAACACCTGTGCTGCTATAAGTTCCAGTTCTGCTGTTCAGTTGCGCTGGCTGCATTCGATATTCTGAAGAAAAATGTAAAAATTTTTGAGAAAATATTTCAAATTTCAGCTTCTATTGCATGGTGGCACTGACACACATGAACTGAGGGTAATATTCCAAAACCAATAAATTGCTAACCATTGATAATCTGACTTTCGGGGTCCTTTCCTTCAACGGAAACTGAAGTAGAACTGCTTGACTCCTTATGTCCAATGCGCCATTCAACTGGCTCCGAAGTTAAGGTTATAGATGTTCTGAAAATAAACA